AGATGCTGGAGAATCTGAGATAACAAGGTGTAGAGCTGGATGAATGAATGGAATTTCTGAAGAAGGGTCTAGGCCCGAAACGTCAGCCTTCCTGCTCCTCTGATGCTGCTTGGCCTGCTGTGTTCATCCAGCTCTACACCTTGTTATCTCTGTTATCCTGTTCCTGCTTTTTCCCTAAAACCTTTTGATGCTTTTAGTTCTAAGAACTATATCTTACTTCTTGAAATCTTTTCAATATTTTGGCTTCAAATGCTTTCTATGACCAAGAATTCCACAGGCTCACCACTCTCTGGGTAAACTTTGATCCCTGGTTCTGCTCTCCCCAGTCATTGAGAATATCATTTCTGCTTTTACCCTGTCTTGGCCTATTATAATTTTATAGATTTCTATGAGATTCCCCATCCCTCCATTCTTTTAAACTCCAGCGACTATAGTCCTAACCGATCCAGTCACTCTTCATATGTCTGCTCTGTTGTCCCAAGAATCAGTCTGACCCCATCAATTCCCATTGATTCTAGCTTTGCTGGAGTTATTTAATGCCACAGCATCTAATTGCAAGGAAGAAATTAGTGGCACAAACTGTTGCAGGCTGAGGGAAGACCCTATAGAAGGGAAACAGCTGCATGGAAACACTGAACAAGTTAAGGCGGCAACAGAGAAAAACACAAGTACTTGGCTTTCTTCTGTAGAACACAAAAAAATGGTTAAGAAATTTCCTTTTGACTCTTGGACCACTGGAAGAATTTCAAGGTTCACCTAAGAGTTTCTTCCAAATCTTGGCTTTCTGAAAAACAGAGGATGCTTTCACGTAATGTTGGCAATTTCTGATACCTAACTGTAAAACTTTCTAAACAGGCTCTCTTGGTGACTCAATGGAGTTTGGAAACTTCGAGCAGAAATTACGGAATGATTTGCGTTGGAATGGGACGCATGAAATTCTTCATCCAGCACTACAGGAATGTTGGTACCTTTTTCTCTTGGAATATACTTTTGTTAAATCTCCATTCCAATCTGCTGATTCATGCAACGTCTGTAGATAGACATAAATGCACAGGAGCAATGATCGTGCATCTCAGATCTGGGTTAAAATTAAGCCTAGACTCAGCAACCAGAAACTTTAATACTAAAATAAAGGATTTGCCATCCCCGTGTATGGGGAGGCTCATGGGCCAGTTTTGACACCCAGAGTTGGGTGCCAAACATTAAATTGTCTTATAAATTTATTTAATTGCCCCAGCTCCCAAGGTGAGAGTTGAATTCATGACATACAGTCATAATCATAAAGGTCTACAGCATAGAAAAAGGCCTTTTGACCCATCCAAAAGGTGCCAGCCAAAAACAACCAACTAACTACTCTAATCCCATTTTCCAGCACTTGCCAAAAGCCTTCTGTGCCTTGGCATTGTAAGTGTACGTCTAAATACCTGTAAAATGTTTTGAGGGTTTCTTCCTGTACCACACCTGCAGGTGATGAGATCCAGATTTCCACCATCCTCTCGGGGAGAAAATAAAAACCTCCTTACGTCCCCTCTTAAACCTCCTGTTCCTTACCTTAAATCTATGCTCCCTGGTCATTAATCCCTCCAACAAGGGGAAAAGTTCCTTGCTGTTTACTCTGTCTTATGCCCCTTATCATTTTATACATCTTAGTCGTCCCAGTCTATCCAATCTCTCTCCATAACTAAAACTCTCCAGCCCAGGTAACATTGTAGTAAATGTCTCCTGCACACGCTCCAGTGCAATCCTATATGTGACTCAACCATTAGTCCAGTCTTTTACGTTACGAATTCAGATAAAATAATCACTATACTACTGGATACCAATGTGCTACTCGAAGGTTGAGTAGAAGAGGAGATCTGGTTTTCATCCAACTTAATATAATGATTCATGATGTTGAACACTGGCTGCCTGGAATTGTTCCACTGCCCAGAATAAATAGACAAGAATTATCCAGTCCTTGGTTTGTTAATCGTAGCCTTTTTTATTGTGTTGACTTAGCTTGTGCACATTCTCCAAGTCCAGCGATAACCTTGTCAGTGACTAGTTGGAGTTTCTTAAACCCACTTTTACGTTAGTCAGCAGGCAGTCTTCAACAACGTAAGTCATTGTTTGGACTGCAGCCTGGATGGTCTTGACAACTCCACTGGTGTTAGGTGAGTGCACAGGGGTCTTATCCAGCCCAGAAATAATCTGAAAGGGCCCACTCTAGCCATGGGAGATTAAAGTCAGTGGACAAGCGGTATTGAGTGACTTTTGGAAATTTTTCTCACGCCAGTCCTCTTACTTTAGGTCCTCAGCTGTTATTTCTAGGCATGGTTGGGCTTAACTACGTGGAATGAAGTGAGGAAAGCAGGTTGAAACAGTTATTGAATAAGGGTTGTTTGGGTCAGTGTAGACCTCTTCTAGTAGCATTTCCTGCAGCATTGTAGTCCTGAAGTTTAGTTGCTGTCTAGTTCTTTTCCTTTACTTTGTAGTTTTAATCCCTGTACTTAAATCAACAAAGTGCATTTATTCGGCACCCGTAATATAGTGGAATGTCCCATCCTCCATCGATGGAGTATAAACAAACAGAATAAATTTGAAGTTTTGGCATGTGTAGAAGCATTAGGATCGGTGATTGAAAATTTGGTTAGAAAGGTAGATTTTAAAGAGCATCAAGGTTTAGGGAGACAATTTTAAGCTTGAGGCACAGCCACCATTGGTGGAACAAGAGAATCAAGGATGTTCAAGAGGCCAGAATTGGAGTAAATCCTAGTGGGCTGTAGGGCCGGAGGATATTCTGGAGCTGGGGCGGGGCAGACAACGAATAGATTTGAAACTGAGACATTGGTGGACCAGGAACTAAAGGGTTCAGTGAGCACAGGGATGAAAGGTAAACTCGACTTTGTGAGAGTTAGGATATAGGTATTAGCATTTTGAATGAGCTCAAGTTTACAGTGGGTCGAATGAGAGAGGCTGTACAAGAGTGCAATGAAATAAAAGCAAAGTACTATGGATGCTGGAGATCTAACATAAAAGCAGAAAGTTCAGGAGAAACTCAACAGGCCTAGTGACATCTGTGGAGAGAAAACCAGAATTTTTTCATGTCCAATTTCAGTTTTCTGTCTGTTTCTGTCTTCACAGATGCTGCCAGACCTGCTGAGTTTCTCCAAAACTTTTGTTTTTATTTAGCGCATTGGAATAATCAAGTCTAAAGCTAGTAGGGGCATTGAGGATTTCAGTAGCAGGTGAGCTGAGTCAGGGGCTGAGCTGCCTTGATGCTGGAGAGGAAATGTGGTTGAAAGTTGAAAGTCAAATAGTACAAGCCTTCAAACGATAACCAGTGAGAAGGATGCAAGTGGACAGCAAAGGAAGATGATTGCTGTGTATCTTGTTAACCCTTGAGGTTCATTGATTGGAAAGAAACATGAAGGACTAAGGACTGTGTATTTAATATCAGATTGGGTGCAGAAACAGGGAAGGGAAGATTTTGAAACAAAGAAAAAAATTTTAAAACTTATTTATTAAATATTTCCAAAAATTAAAAATATTAAGTAGTGAGACTGTACACTGATCGGAAAGTTGGCTGTTATTAACACTTTTTGCAACATTTAAAAGATGATATACTTGCAATAACAGGTTTAAATTTTTTTGTGTTGGTTTTAATGCATACATTTAAAGAAAAAAATCAGAAGTTATTGTGGAGTGGCTGGATGTTAACATCAAATTTAGATGTTTTAATTTAACCACATGCCACCTTGCTTAAAGTTGCTGCATAATTTAACCATCAGCTTTGTAAGTTCTGGCCCAGTACATTTTTTGATTTTTTTTTTTTTATTCGGGTTTTCCCTCCTCCTCCCTTCCCAACTTCCTTGTCTTTAGTTAGGCCAAGTAGCTGTTACCCTTGGACGAAAAGTGAACTTGGCCATGTTGCTTCTCTCCCGTGCACTTTGAGTGTCCGAACTGAAATCACAAGTCTATAAATACTGATCACTGGCATAAATCCATATTTCACTTTTGTAGCACCAAAATTGGTAATATCGCCTTTTAAAATATTCTTAAACTGAGCTAAATGACCCTTATCATTTGAATATTTTGTAATACTGTTATGTTTTTTTCTGCTTGTATTTTTCCATTTCTTTTATCCAGCTGGAATAAAACTGAGTGACCTCCAACTCACTGAATGTATAAATGTGGAGCATTTAGGACTGACTTCCATGCAGAATGTTGAATTGGTTTCCTCTTTTCCTGTAAATGAATCGCATGGGATTCGAGGTAAGGATTTCACTTTTTTTTTTTGTTTCTGTCAGTAAGAACTGACCTTCAACTAACTATTGGGTCTATTGCTGTTTAATCTAGTTTGTATGACCAAGTTGGGGAGTTGTACAAGGGAATAACACTGATAGGGATTCCGGTTGTGTTGACCAGGTTAACTGACACCGTGTATTTATAATTCCGCTGGAAATGTTCGCATTGTGGAACATCTAACCGAGTCAGATCATGCAGGCCAGTAGTTTCAGTGGACTTCACAATATGGAACCTTGAGCCACCTATAATTTTAAAATTTAATTTTCCCATTGAATTGACATGTATCACAAGCTGCCGACAACCAATTTTTATCCACTAATAAGGTGATACAACCAAGATCTCAGCCTTTCTATGTTGCCATGAAACTGAATACAAATCAATAAGCAAAAAAAGAAAAAGTGCCAGCAGACTGTTGTCTGGGCCTTACGGTTGCCTGTAGTTTGGCTGCACTTGCTGAAGATGCTTTAAGGAGGCAGAAATGAAGGAAACTCAACATGGCAGAAGATTGGTGAAGATGTCTTTTATAGTATTTGTGATCAATAGTTTAAGCCAGTCCAAACTTGAACCAAGTGAAATGTTTAGTTTGGTCCTGAGGTCCTTGGCTATGAGTGACCATTTACATGCCAATCTTTAAAGACTTGCTTTACTATATTACTCAGGTGTGGTATACACCTTGATCTGAGAAGTTGCATTTTTAGCATGTTGATCTGCAGCATCAGAAACCTCTTATGTAATCTGAATACGTGCTGATTTTCACTGCAGTTTCTGATTACAGTATTACTTTTCTAGGCAAATATTTTGACAGAATGCTGGAAGAAAATCCTCAAGGGCAGGGTTGTCAGGCAAGAGTATGCAGAGCTGTGCCACTGACTTTCCTTTATCAGTGTTTAAGCATCTTGTGACTTTATTTTCTTTCAGAAACTGGGATTCCATTTATCTCCCGGACAGGAAAAACAAATGATCTCACCAAGATTAAGGGCTGGAAACACAAGTTTAACCTGCAACCTGGGTCACCTGAAAACAAATCGAGTCCATCACCTTCAAGTAAACAAGAATATTTATTATGTTTCAGAGATAGTAGGAACTGCAGATGCTGGAGAATCTGAGATAACAAGGTGTAGAGCTGGATGAACACAGCAGGCCGAGCAGGAAGGCTGACGTTTCGGGCCTAGACCCTTCTTCAGAAATGGGGGAGGGGAAGGGGGTTCTGAAATAAATAGGGAGTGAGGGGGAGGCAGAGAGAGGAGAAGATAGGTGGAGAGGAGACAGACAGGTCAAAGAGTCGGGATGGCGCCAGTAAAGGTGAGTGTAGGTAGGGAGGTACCCTAACCCTATCGCAGAGCAGCCCAATGGCATCAATGTGGACTTCACAAGCTTCAAAATCTCCTCTTCCCCCACCGCATCCCAAAACTAGCCCAGCTCGTCCCCGCCTCCCTAACCTGTCCTTCCTCCCGCCTCGAGCCCCACCCCCATCTCCTACCTACTAACCTCATCCCGCCCCCTTGACCTGTCTGTCCGTCCTCCCTGCACTGACCTATCTCCTCCCTAACTCCCCACCTACACTCTCACCTTTACTGGCTCCATCCCTGCCTCTTTGACCTGTCTGTCTCCTCTCCTCTATCCATCTTCTATCCTCCTCCCCCTCTCTCCCTATTTATTTCAGAGCCCCCTTCCCCTCCCCCATTTCTGAAGAAGAGTCTAGGCCCGAAATGTCAGCCTTCCTGCTCCTCTGATGCTGCTTGGCCAGCTGTGTTCATCCAGCTCTACACCTTGTTATCTCTATTTATTACGTTTGCTTTTTTTTTTGTGATTGACAAGTGTGTGCATGTCTGAAAAAGCACAAGAACTGAAAAAATTTGAGTTACTAGCCCACAATTAGTACAAAGGAAAATCCTAAACAACTTTTGCAGAACCTTGTGCTTAATGCTTGTGAAAATGTTGACTAACTAAGCCAAACTTAGTTGGTGCTTAACTTTTTGTGAATGAGTTTTATTCTATTCCAATAGATTTACATTCTCCTCCTCTTAGAAGTTTTATAGAGTTACTGCCAGATTCACTCTTCTAGATTGCTTGAGGGGCAACTTTGTTGTTGAATCGTTGACTCTGGGACAGGTTCAGTATCTTTTCAGATTGCACTGCTTTACTGCTAATGTTTCAGCATGTTTTCAAATCATGGCTCTGGTTAACTACTAACTTCATTTAGAAGAGAATCACATGATCTATTAAAGTGAAATGTAATGTGGAATAAAGGACATACTCAGTGACCCAAAAGTAGTATTCTACGATTCTACGAATTATTCTTGCTACTTATTGAAGTTGCAGCTTTGGTCTTTAGGTATATAAATATTTGATTGTGCTGCTTTCGCAATTCCAGAAAGTTCCATTGGTAACAGAGTTTCTTCAAAGAAAATAATTTGTTATTTCAATTCTGATTTCCCTCAATGAAGAATGATGCTATATTGCGTAGAGATTTAAGAAAACCAGTCTGTCCAACTCTAGCCTCCATCAGCATTGAAAGTCGCTAATTCTGATTTTGAATTTGAAGTAATTAGTTTGTCATCATCTAAACAATTTTTTTAACCTATGCCTGTGTGAGCCTTAGTGGGATTTTCTTTGCATTTTTTTCTGTCACTTTGACTGCAAAAGTCTTCCACTTCATTTCCACTCAGAAGTACATCACACTTTGATATACTTGGATACATCTTTGTACAGACTTTTCCCATTTTGCGTTATGTGACAAAAACAGCATTGACTTGTCCTGTTATTTTCCTGCATTTGATCTGCCCCACTATTGATGTGTGTGAGAGAGAGAGAGTGTGGATTTAAGAGGTTTTACAAGCAATACAACATTTTGAAAAAGAAGACTCCCTATTAGGAAAATCTCCCTCTCTCTACTTTGTCTCCTTTTTTAAAAAAAAAGCTGAATTAGTAAGATTGTATTGGTGGTATTGGAATATTTCAATGCTATTGTCATTGGTTACTCTCTTTCTGAACTATCCCTCCTTTTTATTAATAGGTGTCAGCCCAGCGGTTATTAAAAATAGATCAGCATTTGTTAGCGACTTGCTTGATGAGTATCTGGAGAAAGAAGGGAAGATCATTGAGCAGTCACTCTTGTATGACTATGAAATGCCAGAGATTGGTTGTCAAACTCCAACCACGTTGGACCCATCATGCAATATACAACAAAACACTACTCGTTCACCTGACTTTGGTGCACCACTGAAAAATAGATCTACACACTTGGAAATGTCTCCAGTGTTAGAGAAACATTTTAGTGTCACAAACAAAGGCATTTTCATCAGAGATATACAAAGCACCAGTGTGGATGTGAAAGCTAAGTGTAGAACACAGAAGAATGACAATTCGGCAGCTAAAAGGCCCAAAATACCCAGTCAATATGACAATACAACACAATTAGCCAGTAACAATAAAGACTCTGCAATTTGTGCCACAGCTCCACAGAAGGTGAGACTTCGGATTATAAAGTCTAATTTCCTCTGTTTCCTCAACAGTCTCGGACAATGGCCTTCTCCAGGAAGTAGTGAGAGAATTTGATTTCCTCACACCAGCCACCTCTGAATAGGATCTGAGTATTGGAACCTGAAGAAGTCATATGAAATTGAGCATGAATTCAGTTTCTCTTTTCACAGATGCTGTTAGACCAGCACTTTCAGTTCTTATTTCTGACATCCATATCCATTGATTTTATCGGATTGAGATTTGTGGGTTTTTTTTGTTTAATTAGCTATCGTAATTAGGTGGCAGAGTTTAGAAGTATTTTGAACAAAATGTGATCAAATATTTCACTTTGTGTGAGAATTTTTGTAGACGTCGTTTTTGACTATTTGGAATTAGTCAGGTAGGAAGAATTTATATGCTGTCAATACAGTAAGATATCTCTGCCTTCATAATGTGACTTCAGCCACTAAGCTTGTAGGAATAATGACTTATTAGAAAATGTATCCTGAGAATGCCACCTGACTTTAATTTTGATGAAAATATACAATGTAAATGATACCTGTAGAAGGAAAACAGGAAATGAATTTAATGTAACTTTTTGATTTACAGGCTTGTTCTAGTTGTAATCCCTATCCTTGGTGTCTCATTGGATGTTTTCAAGGCCTTTCCCTTCTCCCAGTTGCCAGGGCCTTATAAATATAGGCTGCAATGTTTTGGCCACAGATGTGACGCTATATTCACCCATTACGGAATGGGTGTTGGGAGAACTGTTGTGGCATAGTGGTAGAGGTCATATCTCTGAGGTACATAAATCTGGATTCAAGTTCTACCTGCTCCAGAGGTGTGCCGTAATGTTTCTGAGCAGGTTGATTAAATTTATCTTCAGTTGTTGTGCATACATGCACATGTTGAAGCATGCAGCAGTCCCATGCAATCACTGGGTGCTGGGCCACATTTTTTTTGTGGTCTGGAGGAAACCGTTTCCCACATCTTCGTCTGTTCATTTTATAGCCACTCTTCAGTTGTTTTTTGAAGGGGCTTCTCCTTTATTTCTCACTGCATTTCAGCCACATATGGTCTGTGGGCACCACGTGTAGGGAGGGTAGGTCCTTCTGGGTCTGTTCCTAAGCCTGGCCGAAGTGGCCATTAACAGATCTAAACAGCAGGCCATGGAGGAGATCATTGTACCTGACTGCCTGCCCGTCTTTCACAGTTGTGTCTGTTGAGAGGGAGCATGTGGTGTTCACTAGCACAATAAAGACCTTTAGTCTGTGCAATGGCCATGGGTCTCTAGGGTACATCATCACTTCGGCAATGTTCTTTTGATTTGATAAGTTTCTGTTCACCTTTTATATAAGTTTCCATTAATCATTAGTTTGTATTTTTGAAACAGTGTCCCATAAGGGACTGTTTTGAAAGAGTAGAATGGGCGTCACAACAATGGAACAACTGCAGTGCTAGTGGCAGGATGATAAAAGGATAAGGCTCTTAATAAATGTTTAGTGATCTCTATTAATGGAGATAAAGAGAACCAGTAGAAGTTTTGAAATTACTATTTAATAATGAAAGTTTATTTTCAATGGTGGCAAACAAAAGAATGTAAATGAGCATTACCGCAAGAAATAATACAGGAGGCAATAGAATTTTTGAATTGGTGTTACTGGAAGGTGGAATCCATTGTCGACTTAACTGAGCATTGAATATTTGAGGAACATTTAAAAGATATGGGGGCTAGAAGAAAAAGAGATAAGGGTGGATGATCCTGAGTAGGAGCTAACATCAAATAAGTGACTGCCTCCTGTTCTTAACGATGCATGAACTTGTTTTTTTATGAGTGAGTTTTGTGTAATGATGGTTTTTCTATTGTTTCTCCAAGAAACAGCTGAAACCAGGTTCTACATACCTTAAGGTTGTTCCCGTGGCATCAAGTTCCAGTGGAGGGAAAAAATCCAACATTTCAGAAAATCAAACTGAGATGATTTATATTTCAGGTAAGGGCAATGAAAACTGAATTTTAAAAAACCAAAGAACTACAGATGCTGGAAAACAGAAACAAAAGAAAATTGCTAGGAAATCTTGGCAGGTCTAACAGCATCTGCAGAGAGAAAGCAGTTAATTTTTCAGGTCCAGTGACTTGTTTTGAAGAAGGGTGACTGGACCTGAAATGTTAACTCTGCTTTCTGTCCACAGGATGCTGCCAAACCTGCTGAGTTTTCCCAGTAGTTTCTGTTTTTGTTTCTGAAAACTAGAATTTCACAGATCCAGAAATCCATTTTCTTGAATTGCTTGTGGTTGTTTTTAAATGTGCAGTTACGAGTAGAAATGCTGAATATTCAGCTGTCTCTTGGCTTGGTCTTGAAGATTTTTTTAACTTTTTATTATTTCACAGGATGTGCTCCTAAGGAGAGCATTTGTAGCTCATCCCTAATGGCTCTTGAACTGAGACCAACTCGAGTACACGTTGTTTCGAGTCTGAAATTGCATTTAGGTCCGACTGAGTAATGGTGGGAGGTTTCCTTCCTTTCAAGATATTAATGAAGGTATCACATGGGCGTTTGCAGTCGAAACAACACCCATGAAACTATCACTGATACCAGCTTCGTTTTCCAAATTTATTAATTGAATCTGACCACCAGTCGTTATCATAGACTTAGACTTATACAGCATAGCAATAGGCCCTTCAAACCACCATGTCTATGCTGACCAATGGGTGGCATGGTGGCACAGTGATTAACATTGCAACCTCACAGTGCCAGAGTCTCGGGTTCAATCCTAGCCTTGGGCGACTGGCTGTGTGGAGTTTGTACACTCTCCCCATGTCTGAGTGGGTTTCTGCCAGATGTTCTGGTTTCCTCCCACAGTCCAAAAGTGTGCAAGTTAGAAGAATTGGCCATGGTAAATGCAGGGTTACAGGGATAGGGTTGGGCGGTAGGTCTGTGTAGGATGCTATTTGGAGGGTCAGTGTGGAGTCGGTGGGCCAAATAGCCTCTTTCCACACTGGAGAGGTGCTATGATTCTGTAAACACCAAATTAATCCTGTTTATCTACACTTAATCCATAGTCAATTATGCCCTAGCATTTTAAGTATTCATCTGGATGCTTCTTAGATGTTGCGAAAGAGCCTGTTTCCACCACCCTCTCGGACAGCACATTCCATATTTAAACTACCCTCTGGATGAGAAAAATCATTCTCCGATCTCCTCCTGTAAACCACTTGCTCCTCATTTAAACTTATGCCCTCTGGTGTTAGAAATAAAGAAGAGATTCTCACGATCTGCTGTGTCTGTGGCTCTCAAACTTTCGTATATCTCAGTCAGATCCACCCCCTCAGCCCCTTTATTCCAAGAAAAACAAACCCAGCTTACTCAGTCTCTCCTCATAACTAAGACATTTCATCAGAGGCAACATCATGGTGAATCTCCTCGCCACCCTCTCCTGTGCAATCATGTCCTTCTGATAGTCTGGTGACTAGAACTGCGTGCACATTCCATCTGTGCCCTATCCAGTGTTTTATAAAGACATCCTTATGCCTTTATTCTATACCCTGATTAATGAAGGCAATCATCCTGTATTGCCTTTTGACCACCCTATCTACCTATGCTAACAGCTTCAAGGACCTATTGACATGTACACTATGGTCCCTTTGTTCCTCAGTACTCCCTAGCCACCTACCATTCATTTTGTACTTCCTTCCCTTGTTAGAGCTCCTGAAATACACCCCTCTTATCAGGATTAAATTCCACCTGCATTGCACAGCCCCAGCTTACCAGATGATCACTATCAGACTGTCACCCAAGACCATCCTCCTTGCTATCAACAATACCCTCAATTTTCATGTCATCTGCAACCTTACTAATTAAACCTTCTACGTTCACATACAAGTTGTTAATGCACAAAACTAACAGCACGGATCCCAGCGTTGATCCATGTCATACGCAGCTGGTCACAGGCTTCCAGTTACAAAAACAACCTCCACCATCACTGCCTCTTATTTATAAGCCAATTTTGGATCCACTTTGCCAACATGCCTTGCACCTCATGGGCCCTTACCTTTTGGACCGGCCTTGTAAAAGTCCTTGTAAACCTTGCACTGTCCTTGCACTTCCCTCATTAATATACTTAGTCATCTTTTTTTAAAAGAAACTCCATGAAATTAGTCAGACAGGATCTCCCTGAAACAAATCCATGCTGACCATCCCTGATCAAGTCTTGTGAGCAGCAGCAAAGGCTGTACCATGTTGGGTTTTAGCCCAGTGTGGGTTTTCATGGGAAAGCATTCCCAGTGCCAGGGAAAGCGAGCCTTCTTGGGCAAGCCCAGCTTGGAGCATCTGCAGACCCATGGCTTGAGAAAGGACTGTAATGTTTGCCATTTTAACTTTATTTCTTTATTTTTCTACTCTTTATGCTAAGAAGATGTAGTGCTGAACTTTTTAACTTATTTCTTTATTTCTCTTCTCTATTTCTGTAACTGAGATTTTGTAGCTAAGATGCGCTGTGTGTGGTTACATTGTACGCTTTTCACTGTACTCTTGTACCCCATACTTGAGTGCATGCGACCCGTAAAACCTAAATCTAAAATCTAAATCTAAATCCTGTGCTTCAGAATTTTTTCCAGTAATTTCTGTACCACTGATGTCAGACTAACCGGTCTGTAATTACCTGGCCTACTTCTGTTGCCCTTCTTGAACAAAGCAAACCACATTGGTTATCCTGCAGTCATCTGGCACTTCACCTGTGACCAGCAACGTAGTAAAAATAATCACCGGGGCCCTAGCAATCTCTTCCCTTGCCTCATTCCCTTGGCAGGGATACATCTCTGGGGATTTTTATGTTTGCGAAAGCATGTAATATCTCTTCCTTATTCATTTTAACACATCTAATATCTCTCCATCCCAGCTGAATTCCCTCGCTGCAATGTCTTTCTTCTCTGTAAATATGTATAAGTATTCATTTCCGACCTCACCCATGTTTGCCTGTTTGGTCTCTAATAGGTTCCATTCTTTTCCTTATAATCTTCTTACTGTTAATTTATTTGTAAAAAGCCTTACGATTTTCCTTGATCCCATCTGCCAAAGGTATTTTGTGAACCTTTTTGGTCTTTCTGATTTCCTACAACCTCCTATACTCTCTGTACTCTTGAAGGGCCACCCCTGTTTTTAATGCACTGTGCCTGACAAATGCTTCCTCCTAAATACAGAAAACAAAATAACTGTGGATGCTGATAATCAGAAACAAAATCAGATAACACTGGGAAAATCTTAGCAGGTCTGGCAGCATCTGTAGAGAGAAAGCAGAGTTAACATTTCATGTCTGAAGAAGGGTCACTGGAATCGTTCCTGCACTTTTTCCAGTGCCTTCAGATCTTGCATGAAATGTGGTGCCCAGGAATGGACACACTAGTCCAGTTGAGGCCAAACAGTGTTCTGTAAACTTTACCTGGATAGCAGAAATTTCCTCCGATTAAATTCTGGGAAGCCTGAAGCCTTTGTTTTCAGATCCTACTCCAAGGTCTATTGCCTAGATGCTAATACTTCCATTTTCCTGGTAACAGTTTGAGAATAAACCAGACTGATCATTGTTGCGAACATCTTATTTGCATCAGCACTAAGACTGACTGACTATTTGCATTTCTCTGACATTGCCTGCCTGCCTGACTCCACCCCTATCTGAGACCATCCATTATCTCTCTAGACTCTAATTCAACATAACTCTGGCTGATTTTCCACATTCCACACACCTAAAGCTTGAGATCATACAAAATGTAGCTGTCTACATGCTAACATTCGCACCGTCTCATTTGCCGTCACCCCGACCTCCATTAGCCTGTGAAGCAACAAATCAATGTTAACATTCTCATCTTTGTTTTTAAATTCCTTCACTGCCCAGTGCATTCCTACTTAGGTAATGTGATTCAGATCTCCTTCCCCAGCTTCTTGAGCACCCTGGATTTTAGTTGTCTCAATCTTTAGGTATGAAATGCCTCCCTATGCACACTAATTTTCTTTGTTCAAGATGTTCCTTAAACCACCACATTGATCAAGCTTTTGAGTATCTGACCTACCATCTTGCATGACATAGTGTCATGTTTTATGTTATAGTACTGTACTGTTAAAACATTGAAGACAGCCAAATCAAATCAGACTCTCTATCCAAATATTCACAATACAGTAAAATTAAAAGCACAATGAGTTCACAATTGCCCCAACGGTTCCTAACCAGACTTTTTAAATAACTAGTACCAATAACTTATCTTCGGGGTGGCATGGTGGCTCAGTAGTTAGCACTGCTGCCTCAAGCACCAGGGACCTGGGTTCGATTCCACCCTCGGGCAACTGTCTGTGTGGAGTTTGCACATTCTCCCCATGCCTACGTGGGTTTCCTCCAGGTGCTCCGGTTTCCTCACACAGTCCAAAGATGTGCAGGTTAAGTGGATTGGCCATGCTAAATTGCCCGTAGTGTCCATGGGTGTGTAGATTAGGTGGATTAGACATGGGAAATGCAGGGTTACGGAGAAAAGGTAGGTGGATGGATTTGGGTGGGATTGTGGACTTGTTGGGCTGAAAAGCCTGTTTCCACACTGTAGGGTTTCTATTTAAAAAAGACTGATACCAGACACCAAGTTAACAAAAGAACTAACAATTTATTAATAATGCATTAGCTTTAGCAGAGCAAAGTTAGACCATAAGGTAACCTAATTAATGTCTATGATTTAAACCTAATCTTTGATTCCAGCTCAACACTCTCTCTCAAAGGCAAATGGGCACATTTAAGGGATAAATCAAAAGAAAAAATAAATGAAATGTAACTGATTAGTTCACTCAAGCGGACTCCACAATCTGTAACGTCGCAGGCAAACGGGATTGTGTCTTGCTTGGTTTCTGAAGACACTGAAACATGCAGCTAGCTTCCAGTAGGCTCTGTGGAATATTCACTTGATACTGTGATGCTATTCTTCAAACATCCAGTAAGTTGATAGTAGGAGAACAACTAGGGAGCAGTCACACATCAGTCCTGTAGCTTTTGCATGCACAATCCTTCTGACTTAAAAGGTTCAATATCCAGTTCAACTTCGGTTTCTCCTTGTTAGACTGGCTGGCTCCCTTTGAGGCTTCTGTTAACTTTCAAATGTCTGCCATCTGTTAGAGCATATTGCATCTTTAGAACCAAAATGTCTAGAGCATTTTTTGATTCTTTTTCAATCTGCAGTTAACTTCCAGGCCTGGCCTTGTAAGCAATTATCAGTTTGTTTTTTAAAAAGCGGGCTGCAGCTCACAATCCAAAGTTCACATCAGGTCTTGGCTCTCAATTCAAGCTCCAAACCAAAAATGGTAACAAATAAAACTAAAATAATGAAGGTCTCAATGACTCCTGTGTACTTGGAGTGTTTTGTTACATTAAATAAACTATATAATTTTAAGTTATTGCTGTAAATGTAATAGAACGTGAAGTCTGAATTGAAGCTTAACCTGAAAGTAATAAAGGGGACTCCCTCAAGGTCCTGTCTGTATTCTGTGCTGGCTACTTGCCATACAAGCAGGAACATTATTCGTATAGGCACTGATTTGGATACTAATCATCATTGAACCAGAACCAGAAATTCGACCTGAGGCTCTACATTTTCAGCAACCAGGAGTAGAAAATTTTGTTGCTTCACATTTTCCTACATGAAATGATATTGAGCAATGGTGCTCAAGTATCTTTGACCACAGATGCCTAGGGTAGAGTAAATAACCCTTCAGACCACACATAGTTCCTACACCTCCACCACCGCTGCCCCACTACCCCCCCCCCCCCCCCCCCCCCCCCCCCCCCCCCCCCCA